ATAAACATCACTTAACATCTAACACTTATTTTAAACTTAAAAAAAAGATGATCCCACACTATGCTGTATCTCAGCATCATAATCTATCGGTCATACTTACATTTTGGTCAATCTGGACCTTTGTCAGGAGTGTACATTAAATTAAATCATTAAAATACTCTTGACGAAAGTTTGGAGGGACCAAAATGTGATGCTGAGCAAGAGCAGTGTACTGTATCTTCTTTTATCAAGACTTAGGTTATACTCTCCAACACACCTGCATCTGATATGTGCAGATATCTCCCTTTATTTTAACCCATTATTTAGCATTTATAAGCAGCATACAAACACTTTACACACTTTCCTGTAGTTGTAAGCAATAATAAACCTTCCTACATTATCCATTAGTGAAACTGTTGTGAGGCAAAGTTACAAAAGTCCTCTGTTGATGTTCTTTTTGACTCCTGCTTCATGTATATTGGGTAACAGCTCTCCAAAAAAGCTAATCCATCAGTATGTAAATTATCGGTTATTATTAGAATTATTTCAAGGCCTTGTGAATCAGCTAAAGCTCCAGATTTTTTAGGTTATGTAAATGCAATGGTAGAGACAGCATCCTGTGAGTCTGTGCTCAATAGATTATAAGGCAGTGTGAAAGATGGGAGTTCCTCCTGGGACGTAGTTTGGACGTTTTTTTGTTTTTTTTTTAATATAGCTACGAAGATCATCTGTGAGTGTGAAATTTTCATTTTGTGTGTTTAACTTAATTTTTATTTCCTACACCCAGGATTTCTACAAGTCCCTAGAAAGTCTTAAAATGTCTTAAATTCAGTGTTACAGGGCAACAATAAGGCTTTAAAAGTCATTAAATAGTCTTAGATTTGAATTTGTGAGGTTGTAACTGCTACAAATATTTGATGTAATTTCATTTATACATCTTTTGATTTCTTTTTGTGTAAATGAGTGAAGTTTTTCTATATAAAACTCCACATTTCTTATATAACAAATCTTTAAAAACTACAATACTGTCATTTTACTTCATACTTGCACTTGTTGGCAAAATGTAGATTAACTTTATGCACTCTAATAACCATATTCCTACATAACACTTACCTCTGCACAAGACCACATGTATACTACTTGCCTGCAGTGTTTACCTGCGATGCTTAAATAAGTAAAACATAATTTGTCCCAAAATCTGTCCTAAATTTGTTTAAAAGGTGTCTTGAACGGCACCCTATACACCATATAATGTAAAAGTGTGTGCCCCTGTAACCCTGAAATGCCATGTACAGGCCCTTTCCAAAAAAAACCCCACCCAATAAAAACTTAGATTTTGAGATCGATAATATTAAACTGCTTTAATATCTACATTTTTATTATTGATTTTTTAATCGTATTTCTATGAGGCATCATTTTGATGTAGTTTGTCAATGTGAATCCAATTTTACCCACTTTATATACTGTATGAATTGTTTAATATCGATGCATCACTTATTATAAATAGATTTTTTTAATGTAGAATTTTTATTTTGCAAAGTAATTTAAATGTATGGGAGGAAAAAAGTACATGAATAGTACAGCACATGAGTTGATGTACTCAGCTACTTTCCACCACTTGTGTTTAAAGATATTTATTAAGTGTTTACCAGGGTTTTAAATAAAGTGTTACCGTTAACCCTATGGGCCCGAACGACGCATAGTGCGTCCAAATTCACACCTGTTCTTCTCTATTGATTTTCTCCGCGACCGTGCGTCATAGCGAGAAGCCACGCATATCACGTGAAACAGCAGAATCATAGCTTTCCGACAAGACCAAGCACTTGTCGGTAGTCCAATGTTTTCACAGCGAAAAAAAGTGATAAATTTACACTAAAATCATGAATAACAGAGCTTTCATGCAGCTTTGCACACTTCTGGATGGATTACTCACGAATGCAGGCTCGCACAGAAATGCCACGCATATCACATGAAAGCGCAGGAGCAGAGCTTTCCAGTGATGCCACACACATCATTGTACTGTCATCCCATCACGCTGTAAATACAGATTGAATGTCTACAAAATAAAAACCTGACAAATTTCTTTACAATCCAATATACAGATCTTGTTATCAGTCACTTCATATAGTGAGGAATATCGTATCTTACCACGTCTTAGGCTTGCGTGTGTTTCTCCCTGTCTATCCACATTTGTAGTCCAGCTTTCAAGATGCAAATATCTCCATATTGTCCAGTTGACACTCCATCAAACTTTGTATGACAAGACCAGCCACTTCACCTTTGCGCACCCAGACAACTGTAGCCTAATTATGCATGCTGACAGGGCCGTAGTCACCATATACATTGAGGGGGACACGTGTCCCCACCAACAACAACAAACTTTCTTTACTGCAAACAAAGTGGCAAATATTATCTTGGAGGACATCATTGCACTGGGTTGACTATTTTTCTATGATCTTAGATGTAAATATTGCATGTTTCTTTCAGATAAAACACATTTTTGACTTGTGAATGAGTCAATGGAATTTCTTACAATAATGAAAAAATACTGGCAATCATGTCTGCCTTGCACAAACCACATGTTTTGGACAGCTGTGAAGTGACAGAATGTCCCACCATCATGGTTCTTATAATGCCAGATTCCAGAGAGTCTCCCCTCTTCATATATGGCAGAATATGTCAACTTCCAACTTGCTATGCTGAGATACATGTAAAAATGTAAGAATTTAGTCACATGGATTTGTTTTTTTCATTGATATAAAAATTAATATAAAATACAAGCACATAGAAGGACATGAAATGATGGCAAATCTGGATAGCCCACATTGTCCTGAAAAAAACAAGATATAGCATGTGTATGTAGCCTTTATAATGACTGTGATATGAGCTTAAAAGTAAAGGCAGTAAAAATACCCCAAAAACGCCTAGGGCCCATATGGTTAACGCAATCTGGAAATCCATCGGTAAAAAAAAAAAAAAAAAATTTCTTCCTTTACAATGTAGATTGCAGAATCTGTCTTGAGAGATTACCCTTAACATAACTCAGTATCACCATACTGGCAGATCAATTCATACCTTTTGATAGATGCTTTTTGCATTTCATAACAGGGACCAAATGGTGACAACAAAGGGTTAAAATTTAAGACACAGGTTCATGTAAAGGCTCATTTAAAAGAACTTTTCTGAGTTTTCTTTTTAAAGATTTGAGCCACAAAAAGGAATTATTCCCATTTTTTTGATCATTTCTTAAGTCACATTTTGCTGTAGAGTCCAAGCTGACGTCGAAAACCAAAAGATATTCAGTTCACACTAACACTGACAAGTTGAAACCAGTGCATTTTCCTTAATAAATAACTTATGGAATTAACCAATTATCAGAAACATTGTCGATTAGTCTTCTTTCTATTAGCTGTTTCAGCTTTTCTCCAGATCGTCAGAAACACCATGCAGCCCTTTTTTTGCGTAAAAGATTTCAGACACTTTTATTATTGTACATGTGAGACCAGCATAATGAAAGTGATAATACCCATGAACATGAAAGACATTTTTTCTTACTGTATTTACAGAGAAGTGTCTTCACATCACACACAAAAAATCCTTCTACAAAATGAACCATTTGTAAATAACATAACAGTTAAATAAACTCCACCTACCTTTAGGTTTACAGCTGAATATGCATATGATGACCATCTCTGCACTGCATAGAATTTATACATATACTTTTCCTCATGAACAACGTGGGTTTTTCCTAATAATAATAATAATAATAATAATAACAATAACAATAATAATGATAATACTGCTCTCATGATGCATATAGGCGGCCTGTAAATAAACATTAACAAGAACTAAGTCTTTGGCAAATGCAAATACATTCACTTGACAGATGAAGACACCATCGTTCCAGCTTGATTCAAAGAAATAACTTGGCCTGAAACATGTGAGGGAGCTGAAGTTAGGAGGGAACATGTTTAAGGCATTTAGCTGAAATCGTCGCCCTGCTTTTTGACGTTATTGGAGTTGCCAGGATCGTGAATCCGGCTTCGAACTAGACGATATGACACTGGTTTGACTCGGGATGGCTGTTGTATCCTTTTTCTGTGGTTGAATGCCAAAGACTTAATCAACTTAAATAAAAATGTAAGCTGTGAGAACATAGTAGTGCACGTCAAGGCAGTGACATGATGGGCCTTGAATAACAGGGAACAAAAAGAACTGTGAAACTGTAAGTGCCTTTTCACACTGAGACTTATTAGACTTACAGTCAGTTTCATGACATAAAGCAAAAATATGCATCATCATTTTTCTGCATAACGCTCCAGTGTTGCAAACCTCCAACATAGTGCAAAATTAACAAAAAAACACAACAAGGTTTTGCCTGATGACCTCTCGTATCCTGACAAATAAGAAATAGTAAAACACTAGCCAAGCAGTCTGCAGTTTAGTCGTTACGAATTATAAAAATGAAATAAAAAAATCATTTTAAGAATATATTTACTAGTTTCTTGAAATCTTGCAAATAGCGGGCCATGGTGATATATTGTCATGGCTCCCTCTATTCTCACATGGATGTTTCTTTATTTATTTTCATTTTTACATCTTGATTGTGTATCACAGAGAACATGTCCTAATCTTCTCATGGCATCAAAAGCGATCGATTTTACTCATGCTGGATGTTTTGGTTGGTGACTGTTCAGATGGATAAAAACAAGCGTTAGCCTGCCACAGCCTGCACGTGCTGCCGCTAATCTCCTCTGATCTCACTGCGCTGCCGTCTGAATCGGAGTGGGAGACGAATGAAAACAGGAAGAAGAAAAAAAAAAGGCTGCTGCTACATTTTAAGCTCCGGACAGCGTCCCTGCTGAGAGCCGCCAAGAAAAGGAATGTACAGTATTGATCCGTGATGGGATGAAACTGTGATGCTGCCACAGAGAGGGAAAATAGATTCTGGTATTTTTGTCTTTTCAGTCTTTTTCTTTTTTCATTTTTTACTGCAATTAGCCAGTTTTCATCATGTGTGGTGACTTTCAGTGTCTCTGATGATCTTCTTGTAGTTTTTTTTTTCTTTTTTTAAATTTTTTTTTTTTGGCTTTGAGTGTCCAAAAAAAGCTGTGAGGAGGAGAGAGGGAAGCAGTCGTCTGGAATCCCCTCCCAAAAAAACGTTAAGTTTCTCATTGTGTGAGCCGGGGAACATTTTATGCGCAGTTGCTCAGTGTCCAGTGGACCATGCCGCTCACACCGGGGCAATATGGAGGCTAAGGCCATGGTCCTGCAGGTTGATTTGGTTTCCATGGTAACTAGTGACGGTCATAGGCAGTGGCAGCAGTGGGAGGGGCGGAGCCTCTCGATGCGGCACTATAATAATAAGGGGAACCTGAAAGTTAACAGAAGAACGAACCATTTGAAACAACAAACAAAATGCCATTTACCAAATGTATTATACTTTAATGTTAATCACTGTGTCTGGTAAAATATGGAATCAAACTCCAACCTTAAAACCTCCAAACATACAGTTAACAGCACTAATATCCTCTTACTGTCATAGTAGAAAAAGTTCCATTGTATTTATTACGGTGAAATTCCGGCAACCACAGATGCCAATTTTTTGCCATAAATTTTTTTTATTTATTTATTTATTTATTTATTTTTTTTACAGTGAGTTGAATATAAGTATTTGTTTACACATTTTCTAAACTGAAAAGGTCTTTAACGTAAAATGATAATGATTATTGGACCGTTAGCTAAACCTCGTAGTTACGTAGCAACGTAGTTACTGTTGCTAAGCTTTTTCCCGCTCTTTCCCGAACACATAATGCGGTTTACAATGACGACAGAGGCATTTATCACTTGAGTTTTTATAATTTTTGAAACAAAGTGTCCATGATTTCAGACAAGCAAGCACGTTTTTCATTTTTAGCCAGGGGGACAATTGATTTGTTTGTCAGATGTAGCTAGCTAGCCTATTATGCAAACGATGAGTCCATGACTTGGCTAAAAATGCCATCTCAATTTGACTTGTTCTCATTTTTCTAGCAAACTGGTTTTAAGGTGACAATCTTGGTCTAAAATAATATTGTACTAAAAAGCTGAAGCTACATGTCCAAAGCAAAATTTAGCATCCTTGCCAGGTGATGAATTTTAGAAGACATTCAGACTTTTATTTCGTTCCAACATAAATCTGGATGGTTACTTTGCTTATATACTTGTTTATAATTTGGTGCTTTCAGGATGAGGACTAACTGATGTGTTTGGCAAATGTACGAACAAAGAGAAGGACAAAGCCGCAAATGCCGCATTTCCGCCAAAAACTTGAGGTACTTAGTTTTAGTAGCTTTAGAACCAAAACTAACCTTTACAAACATATACCTAGACCCTAGATCTGTTTAGCATTTCCACAACAAACAATACTTAAATGTAGGCTGTATTTACTTTTTAATGGTCATACAGAGGAACTTCTGCACCTCGTTTATCATCCACAGAACGGGTTGCACGCATTATTTTCAGAACAAAATGGAACAGGCTGCAGTGAGCGTCTTTCGACGAGATATTTAGAAATAGCAGGTTTGAGCATCTAGTCCTTCTCAGGCAAGCGCAGGGATGTGGTGCTGCCAGAGCGCACCAGAAAGACACTCTGACACGTTTATCTACATAATCCGGCTGAAATTCATAAACATGTTTAAACGTTTAAAGATCCAATTGTCACTAAAGCGTATCTTATTCTAGAGAGACAGTAATAACAAATGAAATGGTCAGAGTTATCATATTGACATTTAAGGTGTGTTGATTGAGTCAGGTCGTCGACCTATGTTTTGAATAACATGCAAGAAAATATTCCACCTTATAAGTTGCGAGTGCTGCCGGCAGTAGCCTTCTAACAGCAGGGTGAATTAAAGTATTTTTTCTCAGGCTATAGCTGCTGCTAGAGGCAGCAAAACATCCTTACATTTTATAGTTATAGTTTATCAGTGTACGAAAAACTTGCTGCGGTATGAGCAGTGGTTACATGAGCTGTAAAACGAGCCACAACTCAGCCCTGAGCAGTGACTGTCCTCTATTGACCAATCAACAGACTGCAGTGTTTCTGGCTCCACCTTCTTAGCATTGTATCAATGTGCTTGGTACCCCCCCAGAGAGGTGACCAAAAATGGTGACAGTAGAGAATGGTTGTACTAGTGCTATTGACAACTTTTCACAACGAAAACGTGAAAATAATTGTTTTAATGTGGACTGAACTGATCTGACCTGAACCGGACTGCTTGGTGGAAATGAGGCTTAATGTTAGATCCTTGATCCTGAAAGCACCCAAGACCAGCTTCTACACACTGTGTCTTGTGCTCCTGACTTTAGAAAGTTACTACTGTATTTAGTGAGGTAGTTAGCAGGGCATGCTAACGGTTGCAGCTCAGGATACAGCAGATAAACACAGAGTTTAATCTATTCTTTACATTTTTGCTCTTAGGCTTTAAGTTTTGGAAAACCTGGAGAAAAAAAACACCCTCCAGCTTCTTAAAAGGCAGAGTGTTGCTCTTATTACAGCCCCTATGAAATCCAAAGCTTCTGGGCCTAGTTAGGGCTGCTAAGGCTACATTTGGACTATCGCCGTTTTGGGGCGGGGTTTAGCGAATGGTCAATGAAACCAGTTTTTCAGTCTCTACTCACTTAGTAATGCTGGGTTGCTGAATCGCCAGGCGTCGTTGTAGGTTGTGTACTGTGGGTGACTGTAGGGGTTCCCCGAAAACTCACTCCCTGCAAAACAAAACAACAAATCAATTAGCATTTCAATGCATCAAACCATTACGGCGTTCACATGCAGTCATTTCTCGTCATTCAAAACAGGATGCAATTTGAGGGGGAAAATGATAGTCATCGATGTGCGACCAGTCAAGCAAGTAATTTATTTCTTTTTCATTTCACTTAAGTTATGCAACACTGAACAATACAGGATGTGACACTGAAGGCGGCTTTCCCTGTCCCATTTATGGATATCTACCCATTCTTCTTCCTCCACTATATTCCAAACCGCTCTAATAAATACAGAGTGGTAATAAACAGTTTCATGCATACATTTTTGATATGCTGCAATAAATCCTGCAGCCTTTCTTGGAGGAATTTTTTAACATCTCCAATCTGAATCCCCTCTGGTCTGAGCTCTGGTGTTTGGCGCGACAGGATTTTCATTGCAGGAGGAACTAACTTGGAGCATGTCAGTGAGCACTGCTGTTGGTTCAACACGTTTCTTTCTTTTACGAGACAATAAAGGCCGGATTTTATATGAAGCTGGTGAGAAATGGCTTTGCTTTAACTGTGTTTTTGCGCCTGTCACTAAATCTTAGCGGTTGTGTATGGGATGAATGGGTTGTAACACAAAACCACAAGCCATGGGATTAAGGCCCTCATCTTTTGCTTTGTGCCACATAAGAACAAATGGAAAGTAAAAGTATGTTTGACTTGACGCTTTTCCACTGACATGATTTAACAGTTTTATTAGTTAAGATCCAAAAGTAAATCCGGGCTGCACCGCCACAGGGTGCGACCACATCTCCTTCTGTTTTTACTGGTAGCTGTTAAACAGACTCAGCTGTTTGCAGGAGTATGTCAAAAAAATGTAAAGTCTCTCTATATTTTTAAAACAGCTTTTTATGACAGAGGCAGGAATAAAAAGTAGAAAGCACTGAAAGGCTGCATTCCTCCTGTGTTTATTTAGACTGAAAAGCCAACCTAAATTAATCAGAAAATGTTGAGAAAACAGCATCAAAATACACGGTTACAAAGCATCATGGGATACATATGGCAAGTTTTTTTTCATTCGAATAAGTGTAGTAGTGTATAAGAAAATAGCAAAACGTTGTATCTCACTTTTTCAGAGGGTCAGATCGCCTAAATTCCTAAAAACATTTTGACATCTCTTTATTTTACCAACATAAGGACACCTTAAAATCTGGAAAAAATCAAACGAAAGCACTTATTCCTCATTCCATTACCTAATTTTGAAGGTTCAAAAACTTTATATTTGCTGTTTTTCAAAGGTTACTTGCCACTTAAGATTAAAACAAATGGCCCAGTTACTATAACCCTCTTGGTTGGTGTGAGGTGATAACAAACCTCATCATCGCAGCCCTTCATAAAGGAGAAAAGAGGAGCAGCCAGAGCCTGTGATGGGTTGTGTGATCGGTAAATGATATGCAAACACAAGACACACTCCACTGCTTTCCCCCTTCCATGTGGTTTAATCACACCCAAGCAAAATGCCGGCTGCGGTTTGGTGAAAAATGCGTGTGGCGACGCCGGAGCTGGAGAAGCGTATAAGCCCCGGCACCAAAACTGCATCCCTGGCAGTGAAACGCGAGCCTGACCTCCTCAGAGAGACAGCGATTTGAATATTTACCGGGCTCCCATGCCTCTGCCTTTTGACCCTTAACTGTTTGCTGTGAACCTGAACTGCAGGTTAAGTAGAGGAGGGGAAGGGGATATGCTTTGGAGCGCAGAGGCTGGGGAGGGCTGCTGGTGCTGTTTATCGACGGCTGGTGCGAACAGGCCACGCGGGGAGATAATGAGCCAATAAGGCGGAGGGGAAAGCAGGAAGGAAGGGAGAGCGACCGTCCTCTCCCCTGTCTCTGATCACTTATTCAGCCTGTCTAATCCAATCATACACACAGAGCTAATATAAGGACGTGTGTGCCTCTTACTCTGCAGGTCAATATTTATCGCCTCTCCGTGTAATTTGGCTCTAAAGTCTCTTCACTCTGCTTCTATAGCTGCTACACCTGTTCATTTTGAGGGCGATGCCACCTGTTAAATAGACCGCCTAATGGCAATATGAAGCGGTGACGTCGTCGCTCACTCACCAGGAACCATTCCAGCAAGCGTGGATGTTGGGTAGCTGCCCTGGCCTGTAGGGGGAACGTGAGGGGGGTACCCAGGTAGGGTTGTGTTGGCCATATCCCGACCTGCAGAGACAATATGAAACAGAACAAAAACACTTCATCAGTGCTTTCTAGTTTGAATTTGTGTGCAATAAAACAACATTTCTTGGACCTGTAGAAGAAATCTTTACATCCTGAAGTAAAGGTAGCAATACAGCATTGAATTGATACTTTCTTACAAATGTACTTATTGTATGAAAATAAAAGCAGAAATACTCATCATACAGAATGGTCCCTTTCAATGGAATCCCATTTCCATCAATGTCATAAACACAAAATACCCTATAAGTCATTTTATTAAGAAACTTTGACGAAATAGTGACTTAGTTATTGCAAAATAATAAACACTCTCAAAATAGTGACCTAGTATTGAAAATAATGGGAAACTTTATTTTACAAACTCATTATTTTGAGAACGTTTCCATTATAATGACTCACAGGATCTTTATTTTTCATCCTAAGGCTCAAGTTTTCATCTTGTTTTTTATTTTACTGGCAGAAATGGGCTTCCATACCTTTCAGATTGATAGTTTTATATATGTATTGAATTACTGAGATATTATTACGGATACATATGATGATGATGTAGCAGTTGGTTCGTTAAATCTGTACAGATGTTTCATATTTACTGATCTTCTTATTAAATTTAAGTTTGTAAATATGGCTTTCAAATAAAAGTAGTGAAGTCAAACATAATGAAAAGCCAGGGAGATGAAAAATAATTACAAGTACCTCAAAATTGTACTTAAATGGGATCCATTATTTTCATTTTCAGGTTCATGCTTGTATTTTTGGTTTCTACTCAAACACATCTACATGCTTTAAGGGTTAAAAACAGTTTATTATCCTCATACTGTCTGTGCTGGAACACCTGTATACACCCTCTGTCTGAAATGCTCTGTTTTAGCACCTGTCTCTTTCAGCCCCTTCCCCAAAAAAGTCTGGACCAGTCTGCTCTGATTGATTTGTGTTTTGGGGTCTCTGTATCTGTAGTCTCTACACCGTCACTGCGTCACCAGCTTTTTACCTTAAAAAAAATCACCAATAAAAGGTCTTAAACCAAAAAAAAAAAATGTTTCAGAGGGAATATAATCCGAAATGGGGGGATACGAACATCAGCATTCAATATTCACGCGTTCTTGATGCTAGTATGTAGCTACATGTAGCAGTGTACTTGAAGCAGGGGAATGACTGTGAAAGACTATAGCTGCTGTTTCTACCTTAAAAAATCCCCAATAAAAACTTCTAAACCATAATTTTCACAACCAAATATGTATTCCAGCAGGAATATGGTACAAAACTGGGGGAAAATTGCCAACATCTGCAACCACAACTATGTTTGTCTTTCATATTTGTCATTTTTTGGATGTTTTCATTGGCATTCTCTTGTTTACAAAGCTAGTCTTGGCCTATTTTCAGCATATTTATGTGTATATATTAAGCAAGCTCTCCGTTCACAGAACATGTTTTTACTCTCTGTACTGAGGGTACATACAGAGTTTGGTAAGCGAGCATTTACTGTATGTCTGCAGCTCCTTATATATGGAACTCTCTGCAGAAGGACCTAAAGATGCACTCTTTGGTTCCTCTCGGCTGTTTCAAAGCACTGCTGCAGGATTTTTGTATACAATCCTCTATATGCCCATGTCACAGTGTGTCTTAGCTGGTCTTTATAATCATGTAGTTGCCCTTGTAATCTTATTTTGTGTTTTATTTTGCTTGTTTTAGAGCTTTACATTTATACTGTGTATTTTTCCTCTATGTTGTCTGTAACTCATGTTGCTGCCTGCCTCGGCCGGGACACTCAAGAGATTTGTAATCTCAAGAGGTTTTTCTGGTTAAATAAGTAAAGGTTAAATTGATAAAATAAATGTTTACCTGATGTTAGCATGTAGCTACATGTAGCAAGGTATGTAAACACTTGCAGTAGGTGTGCCTGGAGCAGATGACCATTTAAAGAAATCCATCATAAGCTACAGTCAGCTTGTTTTGAAAGTAGAAAAACTTAGAAGCTGAGTGTCAGACCGGTCTGCAGTCTGAGGTTTTTGCTCACAGGGATTAGCCCTTCATACATTTATGAACACCCTTCATAAGACAGAAAATAAGGACAGTAATAGGCACCCTTTATATACAGTACTTGAGTAAATGTGCTCAATAGCTTTCTAGCTATGCTTTTATTGTTCAATTTAAAAATGCAAACCAGCTCCTGCAGTTAAGTAACACTTATAACATGTCACCTCTTTTAAAAAAAAGATATCATGTGAACCTACGGTGACATCGTGTCTCATCATCACCACTGCAAGTCAGTACAACACTTCATTTTAGAGACACTCAACAAACATCTCATGGAATGTAGTGCCATATAAACCTGTTACCAAACCCCAGAAACCATCAGTCCGCCTCTCTAACAGTTAAACTGAAAACAAGACAACAGCTGCTGCTTTGATGCAGCTCAACACTGGTTGCACAAACATGTCTCCTCATTACACAGTTCAAACTTTTCTGAATATGGCAGCCTCTCTCCTCTCTGCGCACACTGGCCCCTCTGCAGAGCGTCACCCGTTCAGCTGCAGATATTCAGCTCTGTAATTGAGAGTGACGGTTGGGTTGTCCTCGCTGGCCACAGGGACGTTTTCACAAAATGGCACGTAACCCCCAATCTGCGCAGGGGCCGGGGTAAGAGAGGCCCCTGTTATATTGTCAGCTGTGAGGGCCACTTGGACTCGGAGGGAAAATCATCTCCCAATGGAGCTTTAATGAGGGACTAGTGGACAGAAATGCATCAAACGCCACAGGAAAACTGTTGTGCGTGTTGAAGCCTTTACAAACTCAACTTCCTGTAGGAAAACTTTCTCTCTTTTCTTTCATTTCTCTTGTTCACAATAGAAATCTGTCTCACTTAGTCAAATTACAACCTTGTGGAGTGTAGAAATACTTTCTACATGCGTAAAAATTGATGTAGACGAAAATATTTTTCTACTTTTTGTCACATGCAGTAGGTCGGTATGGGATTGCTGCTTTGTTTTTGATAGTTTCGGAAAATCATACCTTTTATACCTATTCATCTTATCTGGATATTGTGTGTACTATTTTGTAGTGTGTGGCAAACCCAAGTGTTTGTGTCATCTGTGCGATATGCAATGCAAAATATGACATAATGGAATAAACAAACAAAATGAAATATGAAAAGAACTCTACAAGTAAACTCCATTGCTATACTTCACCCTCATACAAAAACACATTCATCTGTCCGAATATTGAAAACTGACTCTTGTCACCAATTAGCATCGCTAATGAGAGCATAAAACCACAGGCAAATTTAGATATTGGCTTAAAAAAAATCCAATTCATACATGTGCAATATCACGAGAAACTTATTTGTTTAATTGAGGGTGAGTGAATGAGCCCTCTGGGTATTGGAGTACCTGCTACTACAGGCTGGCAGGCATACTGGCTGCAGTGGGGGCTGCGGAAGAGGGGGGTGTGTGGGGAGTGAAACGGCTGGTGAATCTGGTGGAGAGGCAGGGTGGCAGGCCTGGAGGTCCTCGAGACTCAGGCCTGCCAGGGAGGAGGAGGAGGAGGAGAGAGTGGGGGTGGAAGGAGCCATTGATACCCTGTATAGCTATTATTTGGGACAATAAAACACGTGTGAAAATACTCAAATTAGAGCAACAGGAATTGTTTTCAGACGTCGTCATGTGACACATTTATCAGTACTAGTTTGTAGTACTTTTAATAGTATTTGTACCTTTGATATTCTGCTTTTTTCCAATATATTTATGAAATATTGCACTTTTTACTCCTCTAAATCTCTTCAGAGCTACAATTACTTTGCAGATTAAGATGTCACATACAAATATATTGTATAATTTGTTAATAGAATATGATGCATTGCTAATTTTAGCATCTTAGCTTCATTCAAAGTCAACAGAAACAAAATAAAACTCACCACCTCTGGTTGAGTTAAAACAAACCATGAATTCATCCAATATGCTGCTCTATACACACTTAAATTACTGTTTATTTAAATGAAGTTTGGTGAGTTTGGGGATTTTAGGGCTGTTTCTAGTTAAACAAAAATTATCTTCCTCTTTAAGAAAATGGTCTATCTCTGTAGGATCCTTTCCAGAATTTTCTCAGACACTTAAAATGATAATCGGAGCCTGTCAGTGGCAAAAAAAGCACTTTTAGCAGCTGTATAATTGAGGGTGCACAAATGCCCTGAAAAGTTGCATTGCAGCCTGCAGCCCTTTCTCTCAATCCTGGACCAGTTTCAAAAATTATTGTTCCTACGTAGACACAGAAACATGCGAAAACAGGGTTCACGTTGTAAAAACACTGAAGTTACCCTTTAAGTACATTTTGCTCAAAAGACTTCTGCAAATCTATTCATTTAAACTTTTAATGCAGGACTTGTAATGATGTTTTTCATTGTGGTAGTGCTGCGTCTACTTAAATCTATAATCTTAACTACTACTTATACTACTACTGAAAAAGCTTTTTAATGCAAATCTTCCACTTCTGCATCAGAAAATGTGCCTGTATGTTAATAGAAACACCATCCTGTTGTCACAAAGTCATATGAGTTGCTATTGGCTGTCTGTGGAGCAACTCCAGGTTTGTCAGTCTGAATAATTCTGTTTTTGGTTGAGCAGCAAAGTCACAATATTACAGAAAATACATACGGGAAATCTATTTCGAAGCAAATTCTGCCTTGAAACACATGCCGAAAAAAAAAGACTCTTCCATTCGTGATTATGTATCGTGCAATAATGAAACTATTCAGCCTTCCTGCTCTCTATTATTTTCAAATCTCTGCACTGATCGGCGCATTGTACGAGGCCTGCTGAGATGTGACTTTTGGTTAAAGCGCCGAGACTGGAGGGCTGCGGAGTTAAAGAGCTTTACAGAGAAGAGTGAGGTCATGCCGGACCTTTCATTTATAATAAGAATTAGTTAGCCACAAGCCAGTGCACAAAAGTCAAAGGGAGCCGTGGGAGTATTGTAGGTGGGGGGTCCGGCAG